TAATGAATTAGAATGTTAATGAAAAATTGAGAAAATTATTAAGAAATCAAAAATGATATTAATTCTATTGAGACGTATTTTGAAATAAAGTTTAAATATTCGAAATAGATATCAGAGTATATTTTAATATTGAATTTGATTTTATTTTTATAATGATATCATATTTTATAATGATAAATTTATACTGCTTAATCATTAAGGTTTTTTCAAAAATTGGTAATTCAGTTAGGGAGGCTTGTTAATTTAAGCACATTACATCATTTGATTCGAACAAAAATTTTAATATATACCAGGATGCATCTATTGTTTTTGTTATCCTTAATAATCAAATTATGAATTGAGTCCTTTTTATTGAAAATTATTATTAACCATTTAACACATTTAAGCTCGACCATAATTAAAATACTCTTTTTTTTTAGAAGCTAATAATGCTTATTCTAAATCTTGAATAATGCCTTAACATTAATCTGAAGCAGCTACTTTTTGTTTGCTCTTAATTTGTATCAACATTTCATTAATTAAAGTAAGAGCTTAATCATTTTAATGAGCTTCACAGAGTTATCTTGCAGAATTGATAACATCTGTTCCTTTGACTCTAAAATATTGGCAATAAACATCAATATCATCTTCATTTTAATTATGTTCTTCATTTTCATTAAGAATAACTAATTCAAGACAATCCTATTTTGAAATCACTTATTTAGTTTAAGTATCTGTAATTGTAAGTTAAGCTTGTATTAATTTGACATTTCTTTAATTGTCATTAAATTAACAATTAGTTTTAGGTAATTCTAATTCAAATACATAATCTTTTCTTGTACCACAAGCTATTTAGGGTAGATGAATTTCATATTTATTATCTTTTAAATTCCACATAGTTCCAAATGTTTTTGATATTTTAATATCTTGAAAAGGTGATTAAGATACATATTATAATTAAATTGATATTTATTCACCAACCACTGATATTAATTCACCTAAAGCATCTACAAAAAATTCATCTAATAAACTTATTTCCTAAACAAAATAAAAACTTCCATCTTTTAGATTACTAATTTCAGTCATCATTTTTGCGTCATTATCTTTACCAAATCCAAAAGTATTTAAAGTAAATACATCTTGAATTTAACTAATTTAATTTTAAATATTCATAAAAGCAGAATCATCTTAACCATCTGATAATAAAAATATAGAAGTAACAGTATTTCTATATTATCTATCCTTTAATTGTTAGAATGCAATTTTTGTTGCACTTGATATATCAGTACTTCCACAAGCTGCAATTTCTTTGATTTTTTATTCAAAATAATTTCTGTTTTCCTCAGATACACATTTTAGAGGTGTTATTCTTTCAGCAGTGCCATTAAAAATAATTAATTATAATCTATCCTTTGATCCTAAAAAATTAAGTAAAATCAATAATGTCTATCTTACCATCTCAATTTTGTCGCCCATCATACTAGAACTTCTATCAATTAAACAAATCTAATTAGAAATTTTTATATACCAAATCTACTCCAGCTCTCTAATTCTAATTATCTGCTTCAATATAAGTCTCTTTTGTTTTTAGACTTATCATTGCAGGTATATATTAATTCTTCATGCTTGAAGACTTTTAAATTTTGTTTAAAGCTTTTAATTCAAATGACAATTCTTTGTTTAAATCATAATTTTTTGCACTCTTTTTAACTTATTCTTTAACAGGATCAATGAATTCATCATCTTACATTAGATATCCTTCTGATTTTTTATTCTCTTAATTTGGTTATGCATTTAGTGAGAATTATTTTGGTAGAGCAAATTAAGCAAAATTCAATTAATTTACCTAAATCTAATTTTATTATTATTTCTCTTAAATTAGTCTTTATTAGTTGTTTATTTAATCAATCTGGCTTTTGTTTATTTAATCCATACTTATTTGTAATTTAAAATAATTTATTAAAATTGCCTATTCATAGATATTTAAATCTTATTTTAAATTCTATTAGATTTATTTAATATTAATTCTATTAAATACATTTTTTAATATTTTAAAATTTTAAAAATTAAATTAAATTTTTTTTTCTTAATAAAGATTTTAAAAACCAATTAATTTTTATTTATATATTTACTATCCAATAAGTACCTCAATAAAATTTGGATAAATATACTCATAATATAAAATTTTTAATTCATTTATTAGTTATTTTTATTTGTTCTTCATAAATAAATTTTAGACTTCTTTTTCATTAAAAACAATAATGTAATGAATTATTTTTTGATAGTATTCTGTATGATTATAATATTTTCTGTATTAATCATCTGCTATTAAATTATTATTCTTAATATTACATCATTTATTATTGAAAATTATTGATTATTGATTCTATAATTTATTAATCTCCTTCAACTAACTTAATTTTAATTAAATATTCTTGAAATCTTATTAAAAATAGAGTCTTTATTCTATTTAAGTACTCTAAATAATTATTCAATTATATTAAAATTGTCTATTCTCTCAAAATTTTAATTTCTTTCATCTAATTCTTAGCTTCATCAATCACCCTTATATTCTAATTCATACTTCCAATAATCTCCCTAAAATATTTTTATAAATATCATAAATTAATAAAGTAATAGAAATAAAATTTTTAAGTGTAAAAATATAGAACAACGAAAGGAAAGAAACTCAGGGCTTTTGATTAAACTATAACTACTAATATTTAAGATCTTTGAACTGTCTTGATCAATCTAAAATCTATTATTATATAAATTAAGAATTAAATTAAACAGATGATTCCTATGAATAAGTTAAAATAAATAGGAAATATATTTATAATAATTGGAAATAATGAAAAATAATTAGTAATAGATCTTTGAATTTTTAAATTTATAAGATTTTAAATAAAGACATGAAGATACTTATAAAAAGTTTATTATAATAGAGAGTGATTCATTTTTTGAATTTAGACAATGCAAAAAAAATCTTAAGTATTACATTTTCTTGAATTTTATATAGGAATACAAATACCATCACAATATTAATGTATAAAAATTGATACAAAATCATAATAATAATTGAATTTCTATCAGAAATAAAATAAATAAGATTTAATAAATAGTTGATAAGGTTATTCTCAAATATTTAATACATCTACTATTCATAATTTTAATCTAATATTGTTGCAATTTTGAAATGCAAAAAAGATAATAAATATGATATTTTATATAATACATTTTTATCTATCTCATTTTGATATTGATTATAATTTTTCAATTAGATTTGACTTTAATTTAATTTATTTCTCCAAATTTAATTTTTGATTCTTAACAATGTAATATTTAGATTCTCTTATTTCAACAATTGATTATAAATATAGATAAATGCTGTAGCAACTTGATGATATATTCTAAAGTTATTAAGCTTGAACATTATGGATGGCTTAAAGTAACTTTAATTAGGAATCCGAAATATTATCTATTTCTAATTGTAATAGCTAATTCAATAAGTTTTAACAATCTTTCAGAATCTTTTAGCAATTTGACCAATTTTCTTAATATTATTTAATATTTGGATCCAAAAGGATACAAATTAATGAAATTACTTTTACTACCATTTCTGGTGGTCTCGAATACATTCTTATTTCAGCAATTCCTGCTTTATCTAATTAACTCAATCTATCATAGGCATTTTGTCTTGTTATCTATAAGTCTTAATTCATTATATCTTGTGAATATTTGTTTTGTATTTCATTTAACTCATTTTCTAAATATTTTGATTAATCATTTAAATGCTTTATTTTTTAATGTAACGATTTAATAACACATACATTTGTATATCCATTCACTAATCGAAATCTAAAGCAGGTCTTCAAATCCAAAAACTCTAAGATTAATGCAAAAAGTTCAGGTCTTATCCCTTAAAGTAAATTTGATTTTGTGTTTTTTGGATTAAGAATATTTTATTGTTTATTGAAGATTTCATCAAATTCTAGAAATAACTTCTTGAGCTTTGATTCTTAATTCTAGTTTTATGATTCAATATTTTTTAAATCAACTATTAATTTTTACATTATTTTAGTTTATATTAATAATTGATAAAAATAAAAACATCACTAAAAATCACTTAAGCAATTATAAACATAATTATATAAATCATTTGAAAATATTATAATAAAAAAATTTATTATTTATTAAAACGATAATTCATTTTATTCAATAAATATAAATGCTTCACAATTTCATTTTATAACCATATATTGAAATTTCAACTTAGCTCATTTTAATTGCAAATTATGTAGAAACTTTTTAATAAGTTTTTGGTTGAATTTCTATTAATAACAATAATTATTATAAAGCTTATTACCCTTATTCCATTATTGAACCTAATTTAAACTTTTTCATACCCATATTTTAAATAAACAATTCTTAGTGAAATTTAATTTAAGTTGAATTCTAATTGAAAATCCAAAAATAAATTTCGATTTAAGTGAATTATTTTTAAAGTTTTTATATACTCTTTAAATTTTAAATCAACAATCGAATGTAGAATAATATTCATGTATTACTCATAGATTAATATTAGATTAATTCTTGAATTCTGATCATAATTTTGAAACATGGGATATTGAAGAGTTTTATACTTGTTTAGATTAAAAGTAAGTTTAATAAAAGATTAATTATTATTTAAACTATGTACAATTAATATTGGCATCAAACTTTTGGCTTATAACTTTTTATTAAAGTTTATATCAATTTTAATTAAAGACTATTAGATTAAAAATTTAACTTCCCATCTCAGATATCCACTAATTATTTTCGTTTTTATTTATAAAACCATCCATTTATTTCAATAGTTATTGGCATTGTTTTATGATAATAAACAAAAAATAGATTTTAGGAAATTATCTTTCATTTTTATAAATTATTTTTAATTATCAATTTAAAGAATCATTATAAATAAATTTAGTTATATTTTCAAGTAAACATTATTTTTAAAATTTTTAATTAAGCAGGAATTTAGTGATAATTTTAATTAAGTTAATCATACTAATAAATCATTATTCAAAATATGTATTTTAATAGGATCTCTTGAATTACTCTATATTTATGATTTATAGTTCTTTAGAGACAATAAGGTTTCATTTTTATCAACTGCTACATTAATTGAATGAATTAAAGCTGAGTTAGTGCAAGGCTAGGGTTTAACTACATATTGCTTCATCATACTTCAAATATTTTCTATTGGGTTGAACTGTGAACTCTAAGAAGGAAGAAATTCTATATTATATTCTTAGTTATTAGTTGAGCAACAAGTTTTGCTCTATGTATATAACAATTATCTAAAATCAAGCAAAATTTATTTTCTTTAAATAAATCCTTTGCAGTTATTATGACTTAATTTAGATATTTGGTACCAGTTCCAATTACAATTTAATATCTCTGAAATCCTTTGTCTCCTATGCATCCAAATATATTCAATTTTTTATTTATTGACACAAATCATCTATTCTTATCATTGGTGTTTGTAATTTGCCAACTTTTGATTTTGCTCTTTTCATGACTAAATGCTAATTCATCTATGTAAAGCAACGAGTAGTCTTGCTCTTTCTGTGAAACCCATATTAAACAATAATCAAAAATTTGTGTATCTAAATTTACTATTAAATAAATTTCAAAAGAAATATGAGTTTACTTAGCATTTTGAATTTTAAATTCATATGTTCAAATAAAAATTCAGATTTAAAATATGTGTTTCTATGTCACCCATTACTTAAAATAATAAGTTTAAATCAGAAATTAATTGCTCCAAACAGATATTATAATTTAAATTAGAAAAACTATAAGAACCTGAACTAAATGAGTAAAAATCAACAAACAGGTATTACAACTCGTTTATATTACATTTTTCCTTTATTATTTAGTTTAATTAAACTCTCAAGTTTATTGGTAGGTAATTCTTTTATTTCTTTTAATTCTTATTCATTTATTACAATTCTTATAATATCACTTAAAGTTTATTAATTTTCTCTTCGATTCTTTCTTAAGTTTAATTTTATGAAATAGTATATTTTTTAAATGACCAATTTATCCGATTTATTTTTATTTATAACATCATTTAAATATTAATAATTTAATATTAATAATAGATTTTTAACATTGTTAATTGATTTCAAAAGATTTAAGACTAAATCTTATTCTTTATTAAGGTTGAAAAATTAAAGTAGAAAAAAATAATTTAAAAAATTTTAAATTAGAAACCAAGATCAATAATTATAAGTTGACTAACTAAGCATTAAAATTAAAATGCAAATAAAAAATCCATGATGACTAAAATAAAAAATCCAGTAATTAAATTAAGGACTTAAAAATCTAAGTAAAATTTAACTTAATAAATTTTATCCTTTAAAAAATGAACTAGACTGATATGAGTTTTGTATGATATAATTTAACAGTCAAGACCTTTTATTTTTCTAGATTTATCATGCATTTTTGTCTGATTAAACTTACATACAACTTTTAAAATAAAGTTTAAGATATATAAAAAAGAGAATATAAATTTCTAATATTTAGAATTATAATTGAAAATAATTTAATAAATAAAAAAAAATAGGAATGGGAAATATTTGTTCTAATGTATCGAAAAAGGAAATAAAATTCAAGCCGATAATCATTGAAGATATCAGTGATGATAGGAATAGAAAAAGTTAATAATCATTGATTGGCAATTTTAATAACATTTAATAATATGAATTTTCATTTAAAGACCCTTCATCATTTAGAACGATAAGATCTAAATTTTAAATAGTATTAATAGAAGAAAATTAATTCATGTACATCTTTGACGGATAAATTCTAAAAATGTAAAATAATAAATATTAGAAAGAGATTAAGTGGAAAAAATTTCCAAAATACCTGAATTTAGTAATAATTTGGAATAAATAAAATACCTTTAATAAATAGAAGATTATGGATCGGATTAATAAAAATATTTTAAATAAGTATCATATTGGTAAGGACAACAACTAAACTAAGTTGGTGGATTCTACTCCAAAGATGGGGGAAAATAGGGCTTGTGGAAAGAAACATTCAAAAATTTTAAGATGTAATTTAAATTATTATGTTTAATTAATAAAAATAGCAAAGCTTTAGTTTATTTTTTTGGTGAATATCTAAATAATTAAAAAATTGGAAAATGGAGATATATCTATAAAAATTAGAAGATGTAAAAATAAAATATACTAGAAGTGGTGGTGGATTTTACAATTAATTAGGCTAAGCAACTGGTAAATGGATTGAATTGAGTGATAGATTTTGTTAGTATTTATATTTCATCATTAATGATTAGAGAGAGTGAGATATTGTATTAGGGTTATTATAATAATGGGTAAAAAGTCAGTAAATGGAGTATATTATTTAGAAGCGAATTTGAGGAATAATTTAAAGAAGTGTAAAATAATTTAAAATGACAAAATATTAGAGGAGGGGGATTGTATGATAATACAATATAAGAGACTTCGATTAAGATTGGTAAATGGATGGAATTAATTGATGGATTTAATTGTAGATCATAAGTCTTTTATTGTGGTGATTATATAAATGGTATAAAAATTGGTAGATGGGATATTTATTTGAAAAAAGATAAAAATCATTAGTTAATGTATAAATTTATAATGAAATGTAATGCTAATCGATTTTAAGTGGTGGCGGATTATATTATTGTTCGATAAAGGTTGGTAAATGGATTGAATTGAGTGATGGATTCTGGAATCAATCTCAAATAACTTATTGTGGTGATTATAAATAAGGTAAAAAAGTTGGTAAGTGGGATATTTATTGGAAATAAGGTGAAAGCAATAATTAAATGTATATATTTATAAATTAATACATAAAAATTTAAGTGGAGGGGGATCTTATGATGATTTGGTTGAAGGTATTTCAGTAAAAATTGGCAAATGGATTGAATTAAGTGATAGTTTTTATAGTAAGGCGTAAGTTATTTTTTCTGGTGATTATAATAATGGTCTAAAAATCGGTAAATGGGATATTAGTTGGAAATAAGATGGATAGAATAAATGTACATATATGTAATATGTCATTATAATAAATATCTAATTTATTAAATAGTGGTGGTGGATAATATGAGAAAATAAAAGAGATTTCAGTTAAGGTTGGTAAATGGATTGAATTGAGTGATTGTTTTTGGAATCAATCTCAGATAACTTATTGTGGTGATTATAAAAATAATGGTTAAAAGGTGGGTAGATGGGATACTTATTGGAAATTTGGCGAAAGCAACAATAAGATGTATAATTAAATATTATATAAACAAAATTTAGTGGAGGTGGATAATATGATGATTTGGTTGATGGAATTACAGTTAAAATTGGAAATTGGATTGAATTAAGAGATGGATTTTAGTTAAATCAATAAGTTATTTTTAATGGGGATTATAATTATGGTAGAAAGATTGGTAAATGGGATATTTATTGGAAATAAGTTCTTTAAAGTTTTAAGATGTAAAATGTTTTGAAATATTAAATAACTTAAATTATAGAGGAGGTGGATCGTATGAAGCTTAGTTGAATTAAAGCTCAATAAAGATCGGGTAATGGACTGAATTGAGTAATAATTATTCTTTAGATTCGTAAATCTATAATTGTGGAGTGTATAAAAAAGGTATAAAAATTGGTAAATGGGAGATTCACTAATAATTAAAACTAATGTAAGATAATATTTAATTTATATAAAATTCAAACATAGTGGGGGTGGATCATATATTGATGGTATTAAGACTGGAGAATGGATAGAGTTATGTGATGGATTTTACAAGAGCGACTATGGTTCAAATGAAATAACTTTTAATGGAAAATATAAAAATGGTCAAAAAATTGGCAAATGGACATAAATTAAATTCAAAAATATACATTTGAGCACTTATTATTATAATTGAACATAAATAACATTTTTTAAATTTCGTATTTTAATTTAATAATAAATTTATTAAATGAAAATTATTTAAAAGGATCTGGAAAAAATGATGGTTAACTATTATTTTATAAAATTTTTAATATAAATAATCATATAACAAAATTATGGTTAAATTTTCTTAATTATTGAAAGATTAAAAAAGAATCTTTTCATCAATTTTTTTTAGTTATTACTTTCTGATTAAAAATTGAAATCGAAAATAAGGTATTTTTCACTAACAAAAATATAATTGAATATATTGAACTCATATTCTATTATTAATTTTATTGGTGATGAATTAAAACATCTGATATTACTTTTCTCGAAAATTTATATGAATATTAAATTTTTGTTTTTTTTATAATTATTGCTTAGTACAATATATTCACTCTATTTTATAAACTTAACATAGAAATTTTGAATCCAGGCTAACATCAATAGATAATGATTGAGTAGGAAAAAAGCATTATTTTATAAGAATCTATAAAGATACTAAATAAATAATTTTTACTCTGACTAAATAGGCCATTCAGCATTTGTATACTGAAACTAAATTATGAAAAAGTGATTGTATTTAAATATTAAATAACACAACCATATCTTTGAATGATATCTTATCATTTTCAATCTTATTAAAATAATATCAATCGCTCAAGTAAAAATTAACATATTACTGATTTATGAATGCAACAAACTAAGCATAGACTTAACTTAACAATGAAAATGTAATTATTAATATTCATAATCACTAATTACAGTAACATTGAATTTGCAATCCTTTTTTTTTGTATAGAGTTCATAGAGCACGATTTGATTTATTGTTCGTTTTAATTGCAAAATTATAAAATTAAAGGAATTTCTTATTATTTTCATTTTGTTTTAATTTTAAAAATCTAAAACATTTGATTTAAATAATAGATAATGAGTCTTGCATTCATATAAATCTTAAATTAACTATTCCATTATTATTGCATTGTATCTATCTGAAATTAGGATTATCATTAGCATCAGCTGTAAAGATGTAATCAATAGCATTCTTGATTTAATTAAAGAATAAATTTGAATTGTGTTTTTCAGTAGCATTAGTTCACAAGATTTTAGTTTAAGAGCATATATTTAATTAATTTATTATTAGAAAACTGATTGATTAAAAACTTTTATCTAATAATATAGTATTACTATTGTTAAGTCAACCATTTGGGTAATTTTAAATTACAATTACAAATTGTTAACCAATCTCTTAATAGATATAATTTAATTATCAAAAAATATTTTATGACCATAAACTATTTTGAAGTTTGTTAGCTAATGCTTACACAATTTCTAAAGCTAATTTTATGAATGAATAACAAGCTAACAGCTAAAATATAAAAAAAATAAAATAAATTCATTAAAAAGATAAAAAGTTATTTTTGCCTACTGAATTTGATCATTATTAAAAATTAGTTTAGATATTGCTTCCAGGAATTAATAGATGACCGTTGCAATATCTATTTTGGAAATTATAAGAAGAATCAAAATTTTTAAAGATTAATGGCCCATTTAAACTGTCAATAAACATTTTATTTTAAATTGAAAATTAAACAATTTTCTCAATTGAGTTTTAATTTAATTTTTTATTGTTTGTTTTTTTTTTTAAACAAAAGCTCGCTATTTTCTATTTAAACATTAATGAATCTCACTATATATTTATGTTTTTGAGTCTTCTTAAAAGCTTAATGACCCTGCATTACTATTTTATTCATTTTATCAAATTTGCTTAAAATTCATCTATCAAGATTATTATGTTTTTATTTGTCTATTTTTTTGAGGGAAATCCATAAAGCATTATTTAATGGTCCCAATAAAAAATTTATACTCAATTAATTAAATTAGTAATATAAATTGTCCAATTAGAATTTTAATCCATCCTTTTTTGCAAAATTTGCCACCATTAAGGCAAATCAAAACTCACTTTGTGGACTCAAATATTCTTTTTTATGCTAAATTAGACTAAAAGTCTTGTGCTCTTTAAAATTATAGAGTAAATAATTTTTTGGAAAAAAAAAAACAAAAAAATCTTAATTTGAAAATTTTAAACTGAGCTTTTAACAACGAAGTGTTAATTCTTTTTTATTAATAATTATTTTTGGATTAAATATTAGTTATCATGAGATTTTAATTTAGTATGTATAACAATTCAATTTAATTCAAAGTATCTTAGCTAATTTTCTTTCTAGTTTAAAACTTTCTTTACTAATCCAAGTTATTTTTTATTTTTGAAAAGCCTATTAAAAATCTATTCTCTAGATAGAAGATAATCAAGGTTATTAAACTTTAGAGTAAGGAAAGAAAAATTAAAACATAATAATAAATTTTGCAATTTAATCTATTTTATAAAACAAAAAAACCATTTAACACAACTTTAAATTATTTTATGTCATCATTAGCTTTTTACTTCAAGTTAAGAAAATTTTATGATTAATTACTAAAATCCTTTAAAAAGAACACACAATGAACTAATTATGCAATTTCCTTTTAAATGGATGAATATTCTTAGGCTCAAAAAAGATAAAAATACAAAATTCAATTCAAATTTTTAAAAATGTTAGTAGGATAGAATAAAAAATAATAAAAATTATTAATATTATTCTTTTCATAAATAAAATTTGTTTTTAATTCTAGTAAAAAAATAAATTAAATCTTATTTAATCCAATTATTTATAGTTTATTTTGTTAAACTTTTCTTTACTTCTATGCTAAATACTGCGATATAGTTTATCATAATTTTAATTATTGGCCTTATGAATTTTCATTAAAATTTAATATTTTGATTAGCTGATCTAAAAGAATGAAATCAATTAGATTTAATTCTATTTCAGAATTATTTTCTTTTTAGAAATGATGAAAAATTTTATAGATAAGCAATTTGATTATATCAAAGTTGTTATTTTTAGTATTAATTGGTGTATATCATATCGATTTTTCTAAATCTCATTTATAATGATATGAATATTTATTAATGTTTTCAATTAATTTTTCAATCATTTATACAATTATAAGATGATATTCAATTATTTTTAGATAAATTAAAAAAGTACATGAATGATTTGAAATTAAAATGGCATCTACTTATTATTTTTAGAAAATAAAATGATTATTGAGTATTCTAATTATCATTATTATTTCTTCATATATATATTAAATATTTATAAATTTTCTTTGATTAGATTTATAATAACCATACTCTTTAAATTCAACCATCATCTTGAAAAGAATGAAGATAAATAATTTATATTGGTTTATATTTCTACAAATTATTTTCAGGATAACCTGATATTAAATTAAATAATAATGAATTATTAGATATCTTACAAAAAGATAAAAAGAGAATGAGTCCTGATAATTTATAATTTGTGAAAATATGAGTCTTGCCTTTCTATTGCTAAGATTTTTTAATATTAATGTACCTTAACTCATGGAAATTAATAAATGTATGAGATGACGAGATTCATAATTTAGATTAAAAAGTAATTCATAAAAAAACAATATAAAGTCTAAATATCTTCTTTCTTTAGTTAACGATTTAAAATATCTAATAAATATTTCATAAGAAAAAACGATAAATAGATAAGATTACAAAAAAAAGTTATTGATATTTGCAATAGAAATGATAGTAATTGTCCTAATTCAAAAAGAAATAATTTAACTTACAATAAAGTAAGTTAATAAAAAAATTTAAGATATGTTGGGCACTGAAAAAATTAGATAAAACAACAATAAATAATAAAAATAGAAAGTTATAAGAAACATTAAGATTATTTGTAATTTCAATTTAATTCATAAATTTTAGAATGTTTTAGAAAATTTGCTTATGATGTGTACTATTTAATGATATAAAAAGAAGAAACCTATAATAAATAAAAATGAAAAATTTACTTAATCTTATTTTGTTTCATAAATAATATAATCCAAAAATTTGATCATAAGAATTATATAGATATTGGATTAATTATAATGATATATAATTTAATAATGAAATTTGGTTACAATATGAATCACAATAATTATTTATCATTTCTATACTGTTGAAGCTAAATCATTTCTAATGTTGTTTATTTTATTAAAGTTGCAATAAAATCAAATTTCCATTTTATTGAATTTAATGATGTTATTTTTGAAGATAGTTCCATATTTGTTTATAAATGATTATTTGGATCTTTAGTTGCTTTTCGAAATAGACAATTTGATGGTTCTGTATAATATTTATTGATACTTCTTTTTATAATAGTTTATTAAATTTGTTTATGGTTTTTCAACTTTATAGTTTTTCTTTTTGAGAAATTAAGTTATTACTTTTTCTTTTATTGCTTCGTTTAATTTTGAATACTTAGTTGCTCTTTATTATCAACATCATTTTCTTCAACCTTAATTAAAACTTGATTATCAATTACAGGATTAAGATAATGATCAAAACAATTATAATTCTGATCATTCCAATCTAAATAAGAGTTATCATTATAATCTTGTGTAAAGCTATAATTATGCATTTTGTGATTTTTAAAATAAAATAAGAATTAATAAACTATTCAATAATATGTTTTGATCAATAAATTTCTATACATCACTCTATATAATCATTCTGTTTAGATATATTTAGTTTCAAATAAATACAAAAAAAAGTGATGTAAAAATTCATAAATAAATAAACAAAGTTTTAGAATATTAAGTTCACTTAAAGAATGATTATCCAACTCTCATAAGACATATTTGTATATAATATCAAGAAAAACTAAATTTTTATTCAATTTCAAAAGTTTCTTTTACAAATATTGTTTAATGAAACAAAACTACAAACTAAAAAAACTAAACTAAAATTTAATGATGAATAATATTCTTATTCATCTTTCTCAAATGTTCTGAAATCTCTTTTATATTCAGACTATTTTATATGCCTTAATAACATTCATTTTTAAACTATTTATTATAGAATACTTTATTTAAGCTATAGATTTATATTCATAAGGCATAAAATAGGGCTTAAGTAGAGATTGAATCATTAAAAACATTTAAGTGGCATTTATAATGTTTCTAAGTTGACATAATTTAGAGTTACAAAATAGCAACCTTTTTAAGAAAACTTTTAGTAATTATTATCTAAAATCAAGTATGTTAATTTAAGATAGGATACTTTTGCAAAAATTTAGAATTAAAAGAAACAGATAACATCATATTATTGATAATTTTACCCTCATAATAATAGTGAATTATACTATACAAGAATAAGCTTTAATTTAAATTATCATTTTTATACAAAAAGATATTCTTTTTATTATAAATTATTTCAACTTCTATTAAACTTTTTTTCTTTTAAAGTGTTAGGCTTTCTATTTATCTATTTTTGTAATATAAAATTAAAATCATTATTCAACTTTATTTTAGATTTTTATTTCATGTTTGTTCTTATGAAAGATATAATTCACTAAATTATGATTTATTAAGTCAAATGCTTATGAATATAGCTTTAACTTAAATAGAAGAAAACTAGAGTTTGATTTGATTGACTTAATTTATTTCCATTCTGATTTTGAAATTACTACCTTAAAGTCATTTTTTAATACCATTCAATCTCAATAGTCACATTAGTAGTAAGGAAGTATTAAAGACAAACCTTAAAATTTAGTCAAGTATATTTAAAATGAATCAATTTCAGTATAAATTTTAAATCATATATTTTCTATCTTAATAGAGTTATTAAATTGTTTATTAAGTTTTATATAATTTATTTCAAGATAAAACTATTATTTTACGAGCCTATGAATTTAATTTGAAGGCAACTAAAAATGAATCTCTAGTTATATTTAATTAGTAATTCATATAAGTTATTAACATTAGTTTCTTCTTATATCATTTTTTTTATTAATTTAATTAAATAAATTTACTAATATCCTCTTGGAATGTTATTTAATCTCTCTAAAACTATATATATTTTATTTTTTGAGATACTATATCTATTAAAATACAATAAATCCTATCTATCATTATCATTTTAGACTTTAAGATTATATATTAAAAAGCCTATTTAATTTTATAGCAAGACAAGTTTTTCATTACCATATTAAAGTTGAATTAAATTTTAATAAATTATAATTTAAGAATAATTTCATATAAACAGCTAATTTTCTACTTTGTCTAAATGACTAATATTTTAATCTAATAGGTAATTAAATATTTTTATTTTAATTTAAATTACGCAATTTGATAATTTATATACTTTCTAATATAATTACTTTCAGTATTTAAATGTAGTGACTGAAAAATAAAAATTTATAAAAGATTAGAAATATTGTTTAGGATCTACATCAAATGGTAAATACTTTTTTATTCTTAACAATAACTTCAAAATCTAATTAATATTTTTAAACATTAGATAATCTTAACATATTCACTTGTATTTAATTTGTTCTAATCAAAAAAAATGAGTAATAGTTTCTTATTTAAATATACAACATTAATTATTAGATTGATTTCACTCTTCAAATTGTCTCACTTAAAACTGAATGATAATGAAGCAAATAGACTTTAAAATTTATGAAAAATATTTATTTATGGTTTCCAAAATAAAAACTAAATTTAAATTTTTAATCAAAATTAAAAGTCTTCAAATAAGACATGTGATTTAAATAATTTGTTATATAATTATTTACAATATTCACCATATAAAAATTGAATAAGAAATCTAACATTTATAAGTTGTTTACAAATTATACAAAAAGCGTCATTTTAAAATTATGATTGCTTCTAATTCAAAAAATTTTGGTAACAATTTATAAATAAGGGATTTCAAGTGTTGTTTGAACAATTCAATCATTTAATAATTTTCTAAATTATAAACAAAAGTATATGTAAAGTATCTAAAATTCATTTCCTAGGTTTACAGAGAGTAAAAGCCTCAGTGTGAAAGTTAAAGAAATCTTCAAAAGAATGACAAAGAACATCTGCCATCTTGTTATTTGAACTTTTTATTTAACATATTAAGATTAGGAGCTTAAATATAAAAAGTTTCTCATAACTGTTATTGAAGAATTTACATTGGATATAAACTTAATTAAGAGAGAGAATGAAAATAGTAAATATTGTAATTATTATATTAGTAAGAATTGAGTTTTTGCGTTGAGAAAATCATTTTCTTATCTCATATCTATTTATTTGTTTTTTTTTTGATTTTGTAATTGATTTAATAAGTAGGATAGAATAGAGTAATAAATTAAGGGAAAGAGATGGAAATATTGGAGTAAAAATTTTTGATGATCGTTTAAAATAAAAATATTGTTATTAATAATTATAAGTATAGAAACTAGAAATAAATTGTAAATGAACAAATTAGAATCAATTGATGATATTTCCGATAATAATGATAATAAAATTAAGGTGTATTTTATAATGAAATAAATAATATTAAAATTCCGTTAAAATAAATGATAATAACAGTAAAGTTAAAGGGTTGTAGAAGAATAAAGCATACTTAAGGGTAGTAAATTTTCGTTTTAAATTGCACATATATATCTTTTAAAATAATAATAATCTGTTGACATGATTGTATTTAGAATATATTGATAAATGATTATAGGAATTTAGATTGTTCTTTATTGAATGATTTTGATAATAAAGAATAAAAAATTTAATTTAAAAAATATCTTATTATAAAGAGAAAAAACAGAATAGATAAGCATATTTTTTTTGTATATATAAAAATGATGTCATCTGGTGCATCTGAATAGAAATTGATATAGAGAGATTCTTTATGGCGAGATGAACATATGATGGAATAATCAGCTTAGATATTGCATTTTTTAGTACTTGGGTTGATTTTAGGTTTAATTCTTCGAGAATTAAGTAAGAAGTTTAGGTGAATATATATATAAATAGATTAGTATACCATATTCTCCTATGATTCTTGGTTTAGGTTTAATAATAGGACTTAGTTAAGAATATATTGGTAATATAGGTGATAGTGCATATATTTTATCAAAAATGCATCCTCATTTGATAGTATTCATTTTTATACCAGTTTTATTATTTGAATCAGCCTTTAATTGTGATTGGTATACATTTAAATAGTAATTAATAAATATTTTGCTATTGGCAGGTCCAGGATGTGGTTGGGTAAATTTTGATATAAATATAAAAAAGGGTGCAATAATGTTAGGAATTAGTTTTAAGCTGATTCTATAATATGATAATAATGATATGAATTGGTATGAGGCCTTAACATTAGGATCAGTTTTATCTGCAACAGATCCAGTTGCAGTTGTATCACTATTAAAAGAGTTAGGAGCGAATCCTGCTTTTAATCATTTAATAGAAGGGTAAAGATAAGTTGTTATAAAATAGAGAAGCTTTATTAAATGATGGAGTTGCAATGGTATTTTTTAATGTTTTTAATAATGTTTCAAAAGCTTCTAGTGGAAGAGGATAAGCCGTTAATGGTGGTGATATAGTTATAAGTTTCTTAAGAACATCATTATTAGGACCATTTATAGGTGTAATATTAGGATTTATAGTTGCTATATGGACTAGAAGAATATTAGGTGATGATATTGAAGTAACATGGTTAACATTTGTATTTACATATTTTACATTTTATTGGGCAGAATTTGAATTTTTAAAGACAAGTGGTTTATTAGCTGTAGTTGGATTAGGATTATTTTGGTGTGCATATGGAAAAACAAGAATAAGAGTATCAATTGAACATTCAGTACATGCAGTTTGGGGATTTGTTTAATATAGTTGTGATACATTAGTATTCTTATTAGTTGGAATAATAGTAGGAATATAATTATTAGAAGAAGATTTAATTTAAAGAATAGATTATTTTAAAATGATTGGATTCTATTTCTTAATGATTTTAGTTAGATTATTAATGGTATTAACATTTTATCCATTATTAAAATGTAAATATTATATAATAATTAAATTTTAATAGATTTTGGTTATCCTATGACAAAATCAGAGTTAATTGTATTTGTTTATGGAGGATTAAGAGGTGGTTTAGGATTAACATTATCTTTAATGATTGGTTGTGATAATGATTTACCTGCTCGTTTTAGACATTTAGCTGTTTTTTATGCTGCTGCTATGGCATTATTTACTAATATGGTTAATGGAACTACTTGTAAAGCTTTAGTTAAATGTGTTAAAATGATAGATTAATCTATTGTTAAAAAAAAGGTTTATAAAAAATATTTAGAAGAATTAATTGTTATTTAATAAGATTTTATTAAATAATTAGAAACTGATGAATTTTATAATATGACTGATTGGATTACCGTTAGTAATCTTATTGGATAAGAACATTTTATTAAAAATATTGAATAACTTGAAACTGATATTATTAAAAGTGTTGTTAAAAATGGTAATGAAGAAATGATTTTTGATGGATTACCTAATAAAGATGTTTTAGCTGAAGTTAGATATAGATTTTATAGAATACTTAAAGGATTATATTATTAACAATTTGAACATGGTTTATGTGAAGAATAAACTGTTAGAATGTTAGTAGAATCTAGTGATATTGGCTCTGATGAATTAAATTTTAATCTAGAAATATGGGATGAACTATTTAAAAATTTTATTAATTTATGTAGTGTTACATTCTTTTTTAAAATTAAATAAACTTTTCTTATTGGATATTTTGCTAGAGAATATCTTATTAGACATCTTGGATTTGTTTATGATGTTACATCTACATTTATCATTTGTGCTGATGAAGCCCTTAAACTTTCTATTCATTTTCCTATGAATAAAGAAGCTATTTAAATTATTTAAGAAGAATTAAAAAAAAATATTGAAAAAGCACATACTTATTTTAGTACTCTTAATGGTAATTTCCCTGAAATTGTAAGAATTCTATAAACAAAAAAAGCCTCCTTCTCTATTCTAACACATTCTATACAATATCTTTAAAATACTTAACATTTAGGACTTATAGATGATAAAGTGTATAAAATTTTATTAAAAGATATTAATAACAAACTTGTTAAATTAGAAAATCATTCTTATTAAATTGAATTACCATCTTTTCATTTAGTAACTATGCAATTTCCTATTTTTTAAGATCTAACATTAATTGATCTAGATCATATTAAAAAAGTTGCGCTTGAAAAAAAATATGGCATTGGATAAATTATATTTTCAAAAGGAGATCCATGTGATGAATTATATATAATTATGAAAGGATATGTTGTTATAGAAAATAATGAAATTTTTATTACTAAAGGTTTAGGATCCTTAATAACACATTAAAGTCTTATTTTAGATCATTAACATATAAGTGCCGCTAAAGCTGTTGTTGAAACACGTTTATATACTTTACCTATTAAAGTTATTAAAGATATCATGATTAAAAATCCAGAATTTGAATTTAAAATTTATTTACATTCACTTGGTATTTTATTATACATATTTATACATAGAATATATTAGAAAATGGTTTATAAATTAAGTAGGACCTCTTGCAAAAATGGAATTAAAAAAAATGAATGAATTCATTAGAAATAAATCAAGATTAATTAAATTGAATTCTTAAACTTAATAAGAATTTCTTAAAGGAGGTTTTTTATTTTCAGGACAACTTAAAGATCCAAAAAATAATTTAATTAATAAATATGAGTAATCTATCTATAAATTTTAGTTATATTCCTCCAAATGAAGGATAATTTATTGCTATCACTAATGTTATATGCTTTATATTTGATGAATCTCTTGAAAGATTATAATCAAAGAGAATCAAGGAACTTAAATTAGATAATTAAAGAGATCAGCAAATTGAAGAAAAGTATTCAGAGTTCAGAAGCAAAAAAAATTCAATTATGGAATTGAGTAAAATTGACATTAACTGACTATCATTGTTAAGCCAATTTATTAATTATAATTAATCAAACTTTTATTTTTAAATAATATTTAATCAAAGAAATAAACAGATCAAATGTTTCTTTGAAAATTAAATTCTAAACTCAAGAATTAAATTTAACAATAACTGATTTTGGAATTAATGTAAAAAGAATCTAAGTAAAAAAATATTACATTTATCTTAACTATAAAGAATTGAAATTAAATATGCATCCATTAATATGAAGAAAATACTAGAAATTTATTTTCAAATTTAATTAGATAATTCCTTTTTTCTAACAAACTTTTGAATTCAGAATCGTAGGATATGTCATTACAATTTATTTTGCTTTCTTATATTCCTTCTGAATTAATTCATTTATACTTTAATTATTAAAATATTAGTGAAAATAATTTGTTATTTTTCTTTTTATGAATCAAAAAATATTTAATATTAAAGAAAATTCCTAATATTTCAATTTATGTTTATTTATTATTTAATTAAAATTTTTAATTATAACTGATAAAAAATTTAACAATCTTCATTTTTCTTAATATAGTTCTATTAAAAATTTAAAGTTTTAATATAGAGATTAAAGATAAACTTAATAGATAGAGGTAAGATTTAATAAGTAAAATTATAGAATATATTTTTATTTGTAATTTAGAATAAATTATTGCAATGAATGACATGAATTTGCCATTTATTTTAAAAAATAAAATTTTGTAAATTGATTACAAATTTAAAAGGAATTCATTAAATTTGACTTGTTATTTTATTTTCTGATGTTGCATCTAATCTGTTTAAGTATTTTTCTTCTACTATAATATCCACTATTTGGTCTATAATTTTCAAATTTAATTAAAATTTTTTGTAATGTTATAATTTATATGAGCCTTTGACGGGTGGTTCTCCTATTCCATTTGTAAATAAATGGTTAGCCATTTACATATACAATGGTGAATGCATCAATATTAGCATACTGTTTTCAACATATATGAAAATACTTTTGCCTTAGTGATTTTTTGCACTATGTCTTTAGAGATTTCCTAATGATTATTTCTTTATTATTAATTATAATTAATACTTGCTTAACTTATCCACAAAATTAAGAGCATATTTTTTTAAAGCAAATAAGGCAAATGCATTATCCTTGAAATTTAGTTTCTAATTTTAAAGNAAATGTTTCTTTGAAAATTAAATTCTAAACTCAAGAATTAAATTTAACAATAACTGATTTTGGAATTAATGTAAAAAGAATCTAAGTAAAAAAATATTACATTTATCTTAACTATAAAGAATTGAAATTAAATATGCATCCATTAATATGAAGAAAATACTAGAAATTTATTTTCAAATTTAATTAGATAATTCCTTTTTTCTAACAAACTTTTGAATTCAGAATCGTAGGATATGTCATTACAATTTATTTTGCTTTCTTATATTCCTTCTGAATTAATTCATTTATACTTTAATTATTAAAATATTAGTGAAAATAATTTGTTATTTTTCTTTTTATGAATCAAAAAATATTTAATATTAAAGAAAATTCCTAATATTTCAATTTATGTTTATTTATTATTTAATTAAAATTTTTAATTATAACTGATAAAAAATTTAACAATCTTCATTTTTCTTAATATAGTTCTATTAAAAATTTAAAGTTTTAATATAGAGATTAAAGATAAACTTAATAGATAGAGGTAAGATTTAATAAGTAAAATTATAGAATATATTTTTATTTGTAATTTAGAATAAATTATTGCAATGAATGACATGAATTTGCCATTTATTTTAAAAAATAAAATTTTGTAAATTGATTACAAATTTAAAAGGAATTCATTAAATTTGACTTGTTATTTTATTTTCTGATGTTGCATCTAATCTGTTTAAGTATTTTTCTTCTACTATAATATCCACTATTTGGTCTATAATTTTCAAATTTAATTAAAATTTTTTGTAATGTTATAATTTATATGAGCCTTTGACGGGTGGTTCTCCTATTCCATTTGTAAATAAATGGTTAGCCATTTACATATACAATGGTGAATGCATCAATATTAGCATACTGTTTTCAACATATATGAAAATACTTTTGCCTTAGTGATTTTTTGCACTATGTCTTTAGAGATTTCCTAATGATTATTTCTTTATTATTAATTATAATTAATACTTGCTTAACTTATCCACAAAATTAAGAGCATATTTTTTTAAAGCAAATAAGGCAAATGCATTATCCTTGAAATTTAGTTTCTAATTTTAAAGTACGCATTAAGCAATTTTTTTTTTTACATGGACTCAAGTAATGTTTTTCTAAAAATGTACTAAAATGATATGTTAAGAAATTTATCATTTTATTTTTAAATTGATTCTTAATTCTTATGATATCAAAAGGCAATAATTCATTATTAATTTATGTAATAATTTATTATTTTGTGAATACTTCATATAATATTTCAGCAACTTCAAATTTTGGATTTAATAATAATTAAAGTTCCTATTAAAATTAATTTAGATTATTTTCTTTAATTATATTTTTTTAAACTATTTTTAGAATCTTAATCAATTTCTCGTTTTCATTTAATTTTATTTTATCAATAGTATTAATATCAAGATATTTATATAGTATTTTAATTAAAGCTACTATTTTTTATAAAAATAAATGTTGGCTTTTTTCTAAAAATATCTTTAGATCACTTAATAGCTAAAATATTAAGTTGCATAAGACCTATGATAATATTTCATCTAAAAATTAATAAATTTAAAAATTCTCTCCTTAATAATATTTCTCAAGTATTAATTGATTTTCTGTAGATAGTGATTATATATAAGCCTCAATACAAAGTTCAAATTGTTCAATTTCAATATTTTTAATTTAATAAGGATTTGGTATTATAAAATTATATGGAGAATAGCATAATGAACAATTTTAGTATAATTAATTTTTGTTTTTTGAACCAAACATTTAGTTTTTTAAACAATAATCATGAAAAATATGATTACAATTAGTCACATGTACTGAGACAATATTATTATCAAAAGAAATTTAATTTTAAAAAGTACTTAAATATTCATTTATATTTGAATACTAGATTAATATAGGCTAAAATTAGATCTAATTTTTTTCAAATGTTAATTTACATATTAAACAAATTTCATTAGAATCTTCTGTGACATATTTATCATTATATTTATTATTAACAATTTCCTTCATTTATTTGAATTTTTATTATAATTATATTTTACGTTCATTATTGATTTTAGTTTAGGATTAAGACTATTTAAATTCTTAATCTTTATCTTCTAATTTTTAAGTTAAACTTTCGATTGAAAATCTTGAGCAATAAACTTGAAAAAATAATTATTATGAATGATTCAAATTTTTATTTTCAATTAAAGTTTAACAAATATTTTAGATTTTATCTAAAATGTTTTTTATGATAGTGTTATTAGCCTTAAAAAATTGATTAGCCAAGAATAATAAATTTATATAAATGGCGTTATTTTATAACATCTTAATTAATTAATCTACTTTTTTATTAATTACTTAATTTTGTTATGTAATATTCTCTAAGTCAGTTTGAATTTAGTATAATAATGATTAATTTATATCTTTTGATATTGCTTCGAGTATTTCATACCTAATTTTAGTTAGAGTAGATTATTTAGTACCATAACAATATAATTCATATTCTAAAGAGGATCCAAATATTTCTGTAAATTTATCATTCTGCATTTATAATTAATCATTAATTTTCTCTTTAATCCTATCATTTTAAATACTATATATTGGTTCATAAATATGTAATTTAAATTCTTTTTTTAATTAAAGTTATCCATTATCTTTATTTATTTCACAAGAACTTAAAATCATATTTTCTAAATCAATTCTATTTTCATAACTTAATTCTTTTAGAATTTTCTTCATTTCATCTAATTGATAAAATGTTTAAGAATAAAATATTGTTTAAAACAATTTATTTAATCCTTTTTAGAATTATTCATTAATTTAATTTCCAATAATACTTCCTACACATTATATTAAATCATAATCTGTTTAAGCAATTCTGCAAATTAACATAGCAGGATTTGTCTTTTTTTTAAGCTGTTATGAAATTTCATTATAACTCTAAATAATATCATTTATACCAAGATCTTAAAATAGAAAAGCATAAATTTATATATAAGCAATATCAATTTATTAGAGTGATATTTCATTATCTAAATCCTTCCAATAATTTTATTAGCCTAAATAGAAATCTTATGTTTCAATTTGAGAGAATATTATATAATTTAATACAGCCCTTTTCATAAGGTGATACATTATTTATTAAAATTATTAATTATTTTATCCATAAATCTCTAAAATATTAATATATGCTTCTTAAGAATTTGTAAAATTCATTATATAGATGGATAAAACAGTAATAAAGTTTCTATCACTTAAAACATGATTAGAAATGAATAAATTTAATAAGGATTAGCATTTTAAATTAAAAGTACTCTCAAAGTTATTAAGAAAATAATGTATTATTATTCTTAATATATTCTAAGCTTCAAAAGATTGGATATTTTCAAACATAGATAAAATTGATTTTAAATCGTTTCTAAATACTGAACAGATTTTAATTGATGCTGCTAATGAATATAAAAGATTTTCTTCTTCATCATCAAATTTAGATTATTAATTAAAATTTTTAATTTGTTAACATGGATATCTCCTTGTAAGTGAATAAATTAATAAAGATTAATTCATTAATTTTTTAAATTCAATACAATTTGGATTCAATATTTAAAGCTTAAATTAATTAATATCTTTTTAAAGAATTTCTTCTATCTAAATAATTAATCCTTTAATAGCTTCTTTGGATCTAGCCATTAATTCAATTCCGTAACTAAATTAATTGTATATTGATAAAGAATTGAGGTTTATCAAAGGGCTACATCATTTATAATTATTACATTTTTTAAAATATATCTGAGATAACATCAAATAAATTATAACATTTTTAATTTTTTGTATTTTTGTACAATTTCAAAATTTCTATATAACCTCTTTGCATAAAGAAATAACTTTCTTTAAGAATTCTACCCTAATTTATTTATTAATCATTAATTATTTATTTAATTTAACAGCAACCTAGTATTTTATCAATTAAACTAGATAATTTTTCATCTTTAATTTATTAATATATTTGAACTTTTAATATCTCATTTTTTTAAGTTCTAAGTGTATATGAATTAACAATAAGATAAAAATACTTAAAATTTTAAACTACAGTTCTACAAAAATATGTTCTAAAATCATCATCCTAAAAGAACAGAGGAAAAAAAGTTGATAAATCCTTTTCAAATTCAATTGATTCAACAAAATGAATATTATATTTAAGAAATTATTCTAAAAGTGTAGTTGATATTGTTATATTTTAATTAAATTATATTTAAATTTCTTGCCTTAATAATTTACCTGTAAAATAACTCCATATTATATTATTTGTTGTTATTATTTCTAAACATCTAAATATTAATCTATAAATAAATTTAGCTTCTTTAATTGAATCTTTAATCTTTACAAAATGTAGTATATGAGAATTAAAATAAATATCTAAAGTTTCATCTTTCAAAGTATTAATAATAATTTCAATATTATTTAATAAATCATTAGGGTAATCAATAATTTATTCCATTTTTTTATATAACAATCCAAATGATATCTTTAAAAATTATTCATATTTTATTAATACAGAATTATCTAATATTGAAATATTATAAATTACTCTCAATTTGTTTATTATCAACTTTAAGATCAAATTTATGATGTTTAGGGCATAATTATTTTCCATCAAACATCATTATATCACCACAATCACAATATCCTTTCATTTAATTTTAAATTTATTAGAATAGAACAGCATGTCCTTAAATATTATTAATAATAAACCTTTATGATTTTCAGGAATGAAACACTCTTTACAAATAACATGACTAGAATCTTAACAGCAATCATAACATTAATAAAACAGTTCTAAATCATCAATTGGATTTGCACATAAACTCTTTTACCCATTATCTCTATTTTATATTATTGTTCCTAAATATTCTTCCTAACTCATTTTTAATGCCTTTAACATTAATTCTTCATCAGATAATTCATCCATTTCTTTTGATAATTCTAAAATAAGATTCTCTTCATTTAAAATTTCCATTAAAAAAATTATTTATTTTATTTCATAGAAAAATAACGATTTTATATTTTTATTTTCTTTTTAATTAATATTATTAGTGTAAAACTTATTAGATATCTAATATCAAATAGAGAAACTTTAAGATCAAATTTAGAACATTAATATCATAAAAAATTAAATTAAAGTTTCAATTTCAATACAATCTATTAAGAAAAAAATCAATTACAAAAAGCAAATCATCAATTTTAAATTATATCAAGCTTTTATAAACTAATAAAAATTTAAGAGAATTTCCAAATAAAATAAAATAAAATTTAGAAATTAATCAATATTAAGGAATATCAAAAGAAATAACTATCTATTTTTTATGAAAAAGATTTTAAATAAATAGAGAGACATAATAGATATATTCTATATTTAAAAATAATTAAAATGGATTAAATGTATATTACTTTTATAAATTATTCTCAATTTAATTTATAGAAAAGGAGATCAAAAAGTGAATTAAATAGTTTAGAATATTTATGATAGTATATTTAAAGCTATTAAAACAAATTTCTAAACTATTTATAAAAACATGTAAAATTAGTTAAAATAAATATCATTAATATTTATTTATATTTAACATAGATATATACACATTTATATTTATCATTCATTTTATTTTATTGATAGCCAAGATATTATCAAATTTACTAACAGATCTTCTTTTATGAAAAGTTTCTTTTTGACTAATAACTAAAATTTTATTTTCATCTATAGATTTGTATAAAGATTCTACAGAAGTTGATTTGCGATGATTACCATTTAAAGGAATAAGTTTTAATTATGGTTATTCTGTAAACCAAGGATGTTATTAAATACCAAAAATATTAATTCTTCTTTTAGGATGATTAATAAATATCTAATTAAAAAGATTAATTAAATCTTTAGATATATTATTTTTAGGAATGATGTAGTTACATTTAATTATATTTCTATATGTTTCTTAAGAATCTAATCCATCAAAAGGAAGTTTTCCAAAAACTAATCCATAAATAATACATCCAACTGCCCACACATCTTAAGATGGTTATATATATTTCTAATGTGATAATAAAATCTCAGGAGCTAAATAAGATAATGTTCCTACAACACCATCAGTTTAAATTAATTATCCAACATAATCTGATACTCCAAAATCAATTATTTTTATCTAATTATAATTATCTTGTTACATCATTTTAAACTGAAGATTATAACATTATATTTTCTAATTTCAAATCACAATGAACAATATTTTTTTTATGGCAATAAGCAACAGCATCAACAATCTATTTTAAATAAAGTTTAGCATTTTTTTCATTTAAATTTGCTAAATAATTAAATTAATTTATTATTTACAATTAGCTAATTTAAGTAGACAACCACCTTTTAAATATTCCATAACCATTATTATTTCATTCTAATTTTCTATTACACGTTCTTAATATAATTTTACAATGTTTTTATGATCTAAAGCTTTTAAAATTGTTATTTCTTTTAATACTTATTCTCTTTCCATATTATTTGATTTTCTCATTATTTTTAATGCAACTGATTAATTTGTCATTTTATTTTTACCTAAATATACTATTCCCTAACCTCCTTCTCCAATTTTCTACATTATATCGTACTCATTTTCAATTATATTAGGTTTAAATTATATTTCACTTAATTCTGCAATAAGCTTACTTCCATTTTTGATATTAATTAAATCACATTCTTCAACTTTTGTACCATCCATCTTAAAGAGTCTTATTTATTTCACATTTCTTTTCCAAGCTATTTAAATTAATTTCAAGATATCTAACAATTTTGTAAATTAATTTAAATAAATGTTTAAAGGATTCTAATTCTAAGAAACCAAAGTACAAGATCGAAACAATCTTGGTAAAGTAAACTTATTTTAGCTCATCAATTAAATTATGTATTAAAATTCAAAATTATGCTATTGCTATAAACCATATTAATAATATTTATATTGACTCATAATAAATAATACAAATTATAATATTTAATACTATTTATTATCATATCACATTGAAATTCTAAATTCCTAAATAATAGTATAATATTAAATTTAATTTTTTTATTTATTCAATAAATTTAATTACGAAAATTCAATTATCCATTTTATGTTTATAGGCTCATATAAATTAAATAATAACATATTCTTCATTATATTATGAATTGGAAGATATATATTTATTGTAACCAATATTAAAGATATAAAATACAAACATATTTTTTAATCCAGTATTTATTTATTACATAAATTTTAATTTAAGAGAGCATAATCCAGATTACTTAAATGAAATTCGCTATATCTAAATAATATAATCATTTTTATTTTGGAAAAAATTTTTGCTGAAATGAAGCAAGCAATATAAGTATATCAAAATTTAATCTAATCCCAAAATAAAATTTATTTTAAAAAGTAGTACTAAAAATTATTACTAAGCAACCATGTAATATTTCATTTTAATATTTTTTGATAATATTAAATCATTATTATACTCTATATCCTAAATTATACTTAAAAAAACTAATAAACCCTAAATAATCTTTAGGTAATTCAATCCATTATCCATGCTTCATATTCTCCTCTTCCTCTATTTTATTATGTTATAGATTATAAGTACATTAATTTAAATACTGAACTTTCGACCATTTTGATATTTACCTTCATAAATAATCTAAAAACGACTAAAATAAACTTATTCATTTTTAATACTCACAAAAATTCTCATGCAATTCTTTCCACATTCCTATCTTTAAGCCATTTTCATCATATTAACCACCTCCACTATTAATTAAATATAAATCTAAATTAATTCATTTCTTTAAATTCATGATTTTATTATCATTGTGTTCCAGCAATACATATTATTTTCAATCATATTTGATAAATCTTTTAAGATAAATAATTAATTTTCTGAAAGCTAATTAAATCTTCAAAAAGTACAATCAAACAAATCATTTCAGTAATCATTATTATGCTTAATCCTAATCCTTTGGCTTATAATAAAATCTTTTACTTAACTTACCTTTTAAATAAATAATTTTTATAATAATAATTTACATACAGTCTCAATATGATATAACAAAATTTCCAAGTTATTTAATACTTAACCTCATAGTTTATCTTTATGACTATTAAATGTTTACATATAAGCCTAAAAATCAGATTATTATCAAAATTTAATTTATGTATCTTCTGAATATGATATAACAAGATTATCATTAGCATGATACAATTAATTATTTTAGTATGTAATTTAGCCTTATTCATATATTTTGAGCTAGCCAATATGTTGATTGGCCATTCAATTATAAAGTTATCAGAATTTGATAGATAATTCCCTTAAATGTTAAAAAAATGAATCCAATTAATTTTACCTAAAGGTATCTTTTATATTTAAATTTATTTAAGGTTACTTTTTTAATTGGAACAATTAATTTTGTTGTTAAATTCTTAGGAGACACACAAATTTGAATGGTTTAAAAAGGTGATATCGTTTTCCATAATATAATTTCAAAGTATGTAATTGTACATAATCTATAAATGAAAAAATTAAGAGTAAATTGAAAATGAAGTTGGATTGTTTTATTGACAAATATCAACTTTCAAATTTAAGTTAAATACTTCAGAAATTTATATAAATTATTATTTTAATTTAATTTTCCATTTTCAGAATAATTCATCAATCTGCCTTGACTCATTTAAAATAATATCGTATAAAATTTTTATCAATTATATAGAATGTAAAGTTTATTAAATAAAGATAAAAAAAATTTTGATTTATTTTTGTTTTTTTCATGTTATTGTTTATTTTTCTTTTTTATTACTTTTATCAAGATCTATCGATTCTGTCTTAGCTTTCCTCTTGATTAATCCATCAAGACTTTTAAATCTAATTTGCCTCGTAACCTCAAATTGTCATCGAAAGACTAGTAATAGGGCTGTAGTACTACCTTTTGACTAGTATTCAATAAACCTTTCATTGTACCCTAGTCAGGAATGCTTTACTAAATTGATGACATCAAACCTCTAAGTTTGATTTAAATTTTTTTTTTTATTTTAATAAAAAGTTAAAGAACAAAATAAAAATTAAAAAAAATTATATTATATA